GTAATAGTAGTTATTTAATACATAAGCAAATGTTTCCCTGTGTCCTGGTTTCAGCACCAAACTACAACAACTTGACTGAATTTGTCTCTCTGCATGCTGCTTTTCGTATTCCATACTCATCTTTGCAAGTCTACCTTCATTACCTTAATTTTTTTCTGGTGAGGAAGATCCAGAGGAGCTTCTCAGAACAGACTTCATGTGTAGATCCCTCCAAGAGCTGATAGGCATTGTTGTGTCCCTCTCAGTGGATCTGGCTGTTATTGTATTCAGTGTTTTGTAATCTACACTGAGTTCCTAAACTCTGATTGCTTACACCATCTCTTTTCAACTACGTATGTATGTCAGGTACAAAAATAACAGGTCTCATGATTTTAATTGCACTTGCAAAGGTGTATAGTTTTGTTGACCATCGTGAAATTGATGTCCTTACTGTGATGTTTACTGACTCACATGTCATAGTTTGCCATTAGCGTGAGTGTAGTAGCACAGACATGCTGTCAGACTCCTTCACTTGAAGCAGCATGTAGAAGATCAGTCATACCTATTGTTTTCTCAGGTCTGTAGTTTTGATTTTGTCAACAGTGTTAGTGAAATATTAAAAGGGAGTTTTACTACATTTGACCTACATTTTTTTTCCAGACACATGTAGTTTATAAAAATTAAATGAAAGGTTGAGTTTTAGAGATGACATAAATATTTTGACCTTGTAAACTTTAGACTAATTAACACATTTAGTTCAACAGGTCCATAAATACCTGTTGTTCCTGTTCACATTTCTATGTATGTAGGCAAATTTGCTGCAACAGTTGGTATTGAGTTGTACCTTAGAACAATAGTTTTACTGTGCAGTTACCCTACAAGATGTTTTTTGACTGACTTCTAGATATTATGAGCTGATAATTTTTTTCAAAAGCTTATATAAGAGTTTTCCAACACATTAGACATTGCAACTGTGCTGCTTTTTAAGGTATAAATATTCTATGTGATATGCTACAGGAAAGCATACTCAACATCCGAAGATAGACATCAAAGCCAATTTTTACTACAACTCTTCACTATGGGAGAGAGACAGTGGCTCATTCTAATCACAGCTGTTCTATTTTGGCACTATCTGAAAGAAGCTGATAATTATATTCCCAAAAGAGCTGTTCTTCACAGTGCAGGAGAAGAAAAACAAAAAACAAAACCAAACAAACAAACCAAAAAACCCAACTAAAACCAAAACACAGCTCAGACTTCTGCTTCAGTCACTTGTTACTACCTGGCACTGTTTCTGGCATTCTTCAAAGGCTGTGCAATGACTTGGAAAGGAGACCGAAGAGTTCTACCTGTCCTCCAGGCTTCCTTGCTCGTAGACCCATTATGATGAGGCATATTTGTTTTTCCATGAAGAAAACAGAAGTCTTTTATTTCTAAAACTGTCACCTCAGTTTAGTGTAAATAAAATATGAAGGACAGAAATACTAATTAAAATTTGTGAAAGTTTGAAGGACACTAGTCTTTTGATTATATTATTCTTATTCTTTTTTTTTTCCAGATAGTCCTGCCTGGTTATGCTAGTTCCCTGACAAAGTGTTATTTTTTTCCTTTATTCCTTAGAAACTTAATAGGATCTCAGATATATCATCCTTAGATTAAAATCTGTAAAAATACTGTTCTGAAAATCTGCAGAAAATCAGTCTAATTTAGTTGTTCCTGCTG